AAAAGTTTTAAAGAGTTTTTAAATTTTCAAATTCTTCTCAACTTTGGCTCCAATAACAGCAAGTGCAGAACGGGGTTTTTCATCTATAAAAAGAATCAAATCTTATTGCAGAAACTGGATGAGTCCGATTATCGAATCTATCTTTGATTTTCGATTGAAAAAAATTATTAAAAAATTTAAAATCTAGCAATAACTTTTATAATTCAGTACTTGATAATTTTACCCAAAAACAAAGACGATTTCGATTTATTTATAAATCTTAATTTTTTATAGTTTGACTAATAAATAAAAATTTTTTTGATTACTTCCCTAGTAGTAAACTATACACTTCGTCACTGATATTTTGGTTAAAATCTTGATTTAGCCTTTTTATAAATCGGCCAAATGGAGCTGTTTAACATCACTACATTCACTCATAAACATTGCAATTATTTTAAATGAGAATATTAACTTTTGGAGAATAAAAAAACACAATATACTTGATCATTCGAGAAAGTTAGTTGGTTTTTTTAAAAAAACTGAAATATTGATATTTTTATGACATTTATTCAAAGATAGATGGTAAATAAAAATCAATATAAATATCGGATCGTTTTTAATAATTTCGGAAAATATAGGATCTGTGAAAAATTTGTGGATGGACACACTCCTAGAGAACACTACTTATTTCGCGTCTAGTTTACTACTAGGGAAGCAATCAAAAAAATTTTTCAAGTCAGACCATAAAAAAATTTAGATTTATAAATAAGTGGAATTCATCTTTCTTTTTGAGTAAAATGATCAAGTACTGAATTATAAAAGTTATAGATCCTTCAAATAATTCAGCCGACCATTGTATTCCCATCTCGTTAGGGCTACTCGTGGTAATCTTTTTGGACATATTTATCGAATTCCGCTGTTCGCTTAGATGATGTACTAAAAAAATGGCTAAACCAGATAAAGTTGCAAAAAAAACCTTATATTCTTTAATTTTGCTGCAAGATTTTGATAATATAGGATTTAACTTATGGGCAAAGCAATGAATATAAAGTGCCGAAGGATTGACGTCTCTTATTTTCGCTTGTAGTCCATGTGAATCGCCTGACAAAAGCTGCGTCATCGTAACTTTGATGTTTTAATTTTTTTATAATTCTTTTATCATAAAATTGTCTGTATTTTAAAAAATTCATATATTATTCAAATTACAACGTTAACATAGAAGATTCAATATTTAATGAAAACACATAATTTTAAATATCATGTATGCAATATTTAACATCATTCATCAAGGTTTCTTTTCTATATATTTCTTTTTAACATTTTGATCTTCAAACCGGGCAGGACTTTTTTAATTCTTTTTCCAGATTTTTTAAACTATATTTTCCCTTATAAAGATTATTTGTAATTTTTTGCACATGAATTTTGAATTCCCTTTATTTTCTGGTCATTCTTAAATTATCAAGAATATACTTTCATTTTTCAAAATCAAACTCGGATTTCAGCAAGAGCTTTCTTTATTTTACATTTACAATGATATTATAATTAGATACTATTATTTAACAATCATACATGCATGAAACAATAAATTCTGTTTTTGACAAACATATAATTTCACTTAAAATTTTTAACATTTTTATCTTATGAATTAATTAATTGTATTGTTTTCTTTATTAAAAAGGCCTTTATTTTGAAGCATCTTTTTTAGACAGAAGTCATCCTAGCTCATCTTTTATCACAGCTTTTTATAATGTACCGTATATTACTACTTTTTTAAAAAAATTCTGCTGAAAATATATATAATTCAATATTAAGTTCTTAATATATAATTGTATAAACTAAAAAGTATTACGTGAAGTTATATAAAAAACGAATAAAAAATTTTTTTAACAAAAATAATATTAAGAAAAACATAATTTGGTTCCTAAAAAGGAACAATATTTAAATTTAAATATGTTTATTTGTATGTTCTGCCTAAGGAATAAGAATTCCCTAGGTTCAAGTGTTGTAATTTAATTTACTGAGCTAAATTTTAAAAAACTAAAGGTGATAGCAGCAAACAGTCTATTGATAGAAGTTCTAATTGGTGAGTATCTAAAATTACAGGCCTTTGTATTTGTATGTTTTTTAGTCTCTACTAGAGTAAGCTGGTTGCTATTTATATAGGTAAGGAAGGATGAGATAGTAGTCTCAAAATATATAAAATGTCTAAACTCCTGTAGAAAAAGAGAGTTCCTTGCATTTTTAAATATTTGTATTAGTTTTCATAAAAAATCATGTTACATTTTTTTTAAATATTCGAATCCTGATTTTTGGGCCAGATGGGTGACCCTTGTTGAAAAAAATTGGGAGGACTCAGGATTAGATTAAAATTGGAACAGGGCTGAACCTAAGAAAATATGAAGGACATCATCTTATATTTGAAATCTTGTTTTTAATTTGATTCCTTATGGTATCTGGTAAAAGGTGACCCTATTATATCTTAAATTAGATATATTAAATCAACAAGGATTTGGAGATAGTATTTGTAATTTATATATTAAACTTTATAAAAAAAAGGTAAAGGTTTGGGTAGATTCTAGACTGAATTAAAATTTGATCAGTTCAGGTTTGGGCCTAAAAATAAATAAAACATTCAAGCTGGGCTAAAAAATTAAAATTTTGGTCCAGAATTAATTTGAACTGTGTTTTGGTTTATAATTAAAACTAAAAATCACCATTTAATTGTAAAATAATTCTAGCAAAAACACACCTGTGATGTATTTTGAAAATTTGTTTTGCAAAAATATAACAGAATTTTATAAATAAAAAATCATCAATTCCTTTTCATAATCCCAGAGAAATTATTATCATTGTTTTAATTGAATTAGAGAAAACATTATAATATATTTTTATATCAAACCCTGGCCCTATTTGCTTTCTTAAAATTTAAGCCAAAGCATGCCCCATTTAAATTTTTTTTATTATACCAGTGCTTGGATTCAGGCCCTTTGCAGGTTGGACGGTTTACATTACATAGATATCCATTAGACACTATTTGATTAGAAAATAGTCACAAAATAAAATATAAAATAACTAGCCTCTAATTTGGGATCAGGCAGACCAATAAATTTTTTTTGCTGAAACAAATTTCATATTAGTCCCTATTTAGTGTTGTTAATTTGCTTGGTCGTAAAATTTACGACCAAATTTTGTGCTCAGGCCGACCCGGAGTTCATATTAATTTTATATGTTAAATTTTTTATTCTGGAATCTAGACACGGGGTTCAGATAAATGTAAAGTAAGTTAAAATAAATCTCATATCGAATCTTAAATTAAATTATTATTATTATACCTTCTAAATTAATAATTTAAAGCTTTATTTTATTCTCATTTTTCTTACCATTTAAATATTTATAATTTTGGGTGCTTTTGATTGGAATTTGTTAAAACATTCACAATCCGGGTTTCCACCCCGTATTCAGGCTCAGAGCTAGCCTGAGCATAAAATTTGGTCTTAAATTTTACGACCTAGCATAGCTAATTAAAACAACACTAACTGGCTGACTGAGACTGACGCTAACATAACATTTAAACATAACCATATTAATATTATATATATTTAATATTTTATCATTAATTTATATTTGAATTTGTGTTTTAGAAATTGCCAATATTTTATAAATAGTCACTATTTTTCAGTGTTTTTCTTGTTTTGTTGTGCTGTCTTGCTTTTGACTTGCACTTGTGCGTGACGATTTAATAAATAAAGCCCATTGTTGAGATAAAAATTTTTGTTTGTAAAATTAATTATAATAAATAACACATTTATTTAAAAAGTTATTTAACTTTAATTAAATAAACTATATAAATTGATTTAATTTTTTTACTATGTTTAAGATAACACATTTGCATTTTATATATCCAGTAATAAATTTTTATTTCATTTTTTTAAAATTTTTAAATCAAAATATAAATCTTTTTTTTTTGTGAGTTTTAAAAATAATTTCCGGTATTGAAAAAAAGGAATCAAAAAAACAGACCGGTCTATGGGTCTTGGAAACTTTCTTAGAAAGTGTGTCAGCATACCCTGGCTTAATAAATTAGTATCGCTATGCCAATTCCCCTTACTAGTTCAGAATGAGGTGCTAACTTTCTTTTAATTTCATCGCTATTTTTTAATATTGATTTTTTAAATAATTTTAGAAATGTATCTATTGACATATATATTTGATAACATTAGTTCCTAAATTTGATTGAGATAATTAGAATATTTTTGGATATTCGTATTATTTAGGGGGGGGGGTGTGCCTATTCTAAAGTCAAATTATAGTATAATTTATAATATCAATTTATACTTTTTATCTTTTATTAATTAATAAAGTTTAATAATTATTATTAAGGATAATTTATCTTAATGAAGGTCTGAACCCCGGGTCTGTGCTCAGAGCTGGTTTGGTCAATTTTTTAGACCCAAACCCCGGGTCTGGTTTTATACAACCAACCAATTAACAACACTATCCCTATTCAAACAAAATTTAAATATGGTATGATATACCACAACCAGATTTTTGGTATGATTATGATTTCACTGGGGAACTTCATGTTGAATATAGTTCATTTTTGCAAAAAAATACTGATCTAAAAGACCAGAACTTAAGCTCATGTCTTGGATAACATTGACAAATGTCATAATATCTGAGCCAATTCAATTATTATTTAAATGTGATTAAAAATATTAAAAGCTTACTTTGAAATCCTTAGCATGCATACTTTTACTTACATAAATATAAGCAAGGTATATACCACATAGAAAGAAATTATTTATATTTAAATCTAAATATCAAAAAAATGAATGGCTTTAGGTTAAAATGCAAATTATTAACTAGATATTATCAAAAAAAATTATTATTTTTTAAATATAAAATCAGATGCTAAAAATGAATGGCTATAAATTTAAGTAAATTTTTCAAGTGTATATTATAGATTTAAATATATTAGATACATTTATATTAAAAAATTGAAGCATTCAAAATATTTTAACCTAATCCTGTTTTGCCTTTGCCATGAAAATGACCTGCTACTTGATGCAAGAGTGGAGACGTATTGGGAGGATATGGTGGAATTACTTTTTCTTTCTGAGATTTATCACAATCTTCATTATTTAATATTAAGTTATTTATATGATCCATAAATCATTTTTGACACTGACAACTAAGTCTCATCTCTATAGATTTATAAAAATAAATAACATAAACTTATAAATATGATTGGGTAATTGCTTTATTATTCCTCTGATTTTTAGCCAAAAATAAGATTCTTTTAACAATATAGCTGATTTTGACAAAAATACAGATAAAATATCAATTAAATTCTAAGCCAATTTCCCTATGAAGGCACCTGTAGATTTAGCCATTTCAAGAGTTTCTTAGAAACAATAGTAGTTGAAATATAAATAACCCTTCATTTATATAATTAAAAATATCCTGTCATATTAACCAAAAGCAGGACACATTTGAAAATATTGGAAAGAATAACTAATAAATTATGTTTTACATGGAGAAAAATATAAATTTTAGAAATCCTCGCTAAAATTATTAAAGGCTTTGATCATTTATTGAATTAGAATTAACAATTCAAAAAAATTAACATTCATTTATAGTGTAATGTAAACGATTTGCCTAACTTTGATCGTAAAGTCATTTGATCGTAAATTTGGTCCATTTTTTTCTGATTGGTCTATTTAATCGCAGTAAAATAAAATCATTTATAACCCTAACCCTAACATATAAATTGAAAAAATCGTCCATTTTGACCTAAAATGGACATAATGGACCATTTTACTATCAAAATAATACGATCAAAGGAGGCCCTCCCATATTTCCGTGCCTATGATCGTATGGACACTTCATCGTAAAGTTTCGTCCAATTCTGTGATTGGTCCATTAAAGTGCGGGAAATACAAAAGTGTAAACATATTTTTAATTTTAATCATAATAATGGAAATTAAAACGGTGTCAAACAATATCAAACTTCTTCTTGAGAGAAGAATTAATCCCACTATAATTCAAAGTTAGCAATCTAATTATATATAAATAATTTAGTTTTAATTTTAGAAAACAAAATTACTAATAAAAAATCCAAAAGAGGACGTGATATTTTATGTTTTAATGATTTAGAATATACCATCCATAGAGTAATAAATGCCACATCGTATTACAGGTGTAGACAAAGGAGTTGCTTAGGATGGGGTATTTTACAATCAGGTAGGTTCACAGAGATGCAGGATCATACCATAGAACAGTGTAAATCACATATTGGTAAATATTTTTATAAATAAATCACTAAATCAATTTATTTTTAGGCAATATGTTTACTCCATGTCAACCCTTAGTAACACAGAACATGCAACCTGTTAATGCCATATCAAGTTTCACAAATTAAAATTTCTATAATCAATTTAATTTTAGGCAATATATGTGCCCCATCTCAACTCTCTGTAGCAAACTACCAAACAACTATAACTAGTTTCATCAATTTTTATTTTTATAAACAGTTTATTTTTAGGCAATATGTTTACTCCATGTCAACCCTTAGTAACACAGAACATGGAACCTGCTAATGCCATATCAAGTTTCACAAATTAAAATTTCTATAGTCAATTTAATTTTAGGCAATATATGTGCCCCATCTCAACTCTCTGTAGCAAACTACCAAACAACTATAACTAGTTTCATCAATTATTTTATTTTTATAAACAGTTTATTTTTAGGCAATATGTTTACTCCATGTCAACCCTTAGTAACACAGAACATGCAACCTACTAATGCCAGATCAAGTTTCACAAATTAATAAATTTTATAATCAATTAATTATTATTAGGCATTATATTAACTCAATCTCAGCTATTACCAGCATTTAATATACAACCTACAATATCTAGTAATTTTTTATAACTTATTTTATTAAATTATTTTTTAAATAGGTACAGAAGATGTAAATAATGCCCAAATGCTATTAGAATAATTTATTTGATAATATATAATTTTTATTGTAAATAATTTATATTTGTTTTATACATGCTAAATAAATATTAGTTGTTTATATTTTTGTATTCGATTTATACATTTGAAATAATTAACATATGTCATATACATTATAAATTTGAATAATAAAATAAGCTTCTTAATTTGCTGTAAAAATTGTATCCTAGGTTGTTCTTTTGATATTGTATAAGAGCTAAGATAAATTGTTACCATTTGAAACCTGCTAAATATTCTATATTTGAATAATAATATATATTAAATTTTACCATTTTAACCCTATTAATCTTCTTAATTTGTTATAGAAATTGTATCCTAGGTTGTTCTTTTGATATTGTGTAAGAGCTAAGATAAATTGTTACCATTTGAAATCTGCTAAATATTCTATATTTGAATAATAATATATATTAAATTTTACCATTTTAAACCTATTAATCTTCTTAATTTGTTATAGAAATTATATCCTAGGTTATTCTTTTGATATTGTGTAAGAGCTAAGATAAATTGTTACCATTTGAAATCTGCTAAATATTCTATATTTGAATAATAATATATATTAAATTTTACCATTTTAAACCTATTAATCTTCTTAATTTGTTATAGAAATTATATCCTAGGTTGTTCTTTTGATATTGTGTAAGAGCTAAGATAAATTGTTACCATTTGAAATCTGCTAAATATTCTATATTTGAATAATAATATATATTAAATTTTACCATTTTAAACCTATTAATCTTCTTAATTTGCTGTAGAAATTATATTTTGCCATTTGAAACCTGCTAAATATTCTATATTTGAATAATATATATTAAATTTTACCATTCCAAAAGAAATATTAACATTCCAAAAGAATTATTAACATTTAACGTAAGATTATGGTAAAAAATTAAATTTTACCATTTCAAACTTATTAATCTCCATTTTGAACGAATTGGACGAGTTGGACGAAAAATACGATGAAGTGTCTTACGATCAAAGGCACCCCTACCATGTAAACTAGGTTATAGATAGATACTACCAAGTCAAAGTATAGAATTTTAAATACCAACCTAATTTGCTAAATACCGACCTAAAATTTATTAAGATGTAATAAAACCCCTATTATAAAACATATATTATAATGGAATCACGTGGTCGAGTCTGGCCTCCTATATATCACCCCCTCAAGGACAGATTCATCAAGTAAGAAAAAATGTGATCTTTGCTGGTATTCGAATCCAAAACTATCGGATAGGTAAGTGATGCTTGCCGACTAGGCCACAGACGCTTTCCAAAATTCACAATTTTTCAAATATAATTCGGTAGCTATCTAAATGAAGTTTTCTGGCCAGTGAGCTTCAAATATATATTATAATTAAATTTGGTAGTGCCTATCCAAATGATAAATAAACAAAAAAATTTGACAGGTGCTACCTTAAGGCAATACCTATCATTAACTCGTAAATTAAGAATTGACAGGTAAACTAAAAATGATTGGAATTTAATGGTTTAATTACATAATTCAAATTAATCCTAATTAAAATTTATCTGAATAAATAAAATAGTAAATAAATATTAATATTATTTAAACAAATAAAATAATATATATAACTATAATAATGGTAATAATGGTTTCATAAAATGATAGCAATCCCCGATAGAGGCATATTAGATTTTAAAATATAATATAAATCATATCATAGGCGCATAATTTTTGATTAGAATTTATATGATCCTAATTCCTAAGATATATATCTATATTATAATTTTCCAATGTCCTGGCTACGTCATATCATCGACGTCATATCATCGTGACGTCATATCATTGGTATGGTACGTATCTATTTATTTTTATTTAAAAATGCAAAAATTAATAATTAAAAAATAAAAATAAATATTTTATCATATGTTTTGTATGCACAGTATTTCTTCAAATCATTTTATTCTAAATTCAACTCGACAGTATTCAAGTAAAATGGGTCACATGAATTTTCAATTACAATGTTGTGCAGATTTGAAGTAAAATTAGAATTAATGGGTCACACATATTTCTAATTACAGTTTTGTGCAGTTTTCAAGTAAATTATATATTAAAGTATATTATATATATGAATTTTCAGGCGCGTACGCAGCGGGGGAAGCACCCCCCCCCCTCAACCAAAGATAAAAAATGCAGATGCCGGATTATATTTTACAAAAATATTATTGTTAATATTAATTTATATTTGTTAATATTTATTCCTATCTCATATATATATATTTAATTACATTTATTTATTTTATCATATTCATCTACTAAGTTATTTTATCAATTAATTACAAATTCAAGTTTTCCTTAGCATAATTTACTTTTTATTTTCAAATTTATTGACGTATTATTCATCTAAATTTCTAGTCAAATAATAATTATCTCTGAAACTCCTTGTCAAACAGGGAGAAAGAAATTGCAAGCCTGTCCTACGAGATCGAGCCACCGCCATCAAGCAGTAACAGCTTTTATGGAGTTAGAAGAGCCGATTATTAATGCTATTACTGAAATATCACAATGGCTTGAAAGAAATATTTCCTCAGAAGCAAGAAAATTAGTGGATTCAATACTTATTCCAAATTTTTTTTCTCATTAGAATGTGTTATTTAATTATACAACTATTTTATGTAATACTTTTCAAAACATGACATTGACTTGATTAAGAGATGAGAATAGCGGAGAGCATTTATTAGACCACAAGGTAATTAGAGCTAATGTTGATGAAGAATTTCATATTTTATATGTTATTGTTGAGTCAAAAGCAGAGCTATACGTGTTTAATATTTGTCCCCCTCGACTTGCAGCAAGCAAGCTCGATCAGTAGAAGAGTATTATAAAACAAATGTCCCCTCTCTTAGATACATTTATAACCCAAATAAATGAATGGTTTTTAATTCATCAAGCAGCACTTACAAATCCGCAAATATTACTTCCACAAAAGCCTTTCAATACTTTTTCAGATGGTGATAGGAAAAAAAATAAATATTTGTTAGATTTTTATCATGAAGATGTTAAAATATCTTATGATGCCTTATTAGCTGAATAACTATGAATAAAAGATTAACTATGGTTGATACGGTCCCAAAAAATATTATGTATGCCTTGCATTATTTCAAACACATTTTAGATTATATACCCAATGTATCAAAATGGTTATATAAATATATTAGCAACTCTTCCTATTAGTAAACTAATGAGAGAACATTCTCTTTTTTAAGAAAAATAACAGAGCCCTGCAAGAGGTACCATTTGCAGGGCACATCCAAGATTTTTTTAAAAAATTTTTTCGGCCCGGGTTTTTTTTTAAAAAAAAATTATATTTATTTTTGATTTTTATAGCTAATAATGGCGATTTCAAATATTTGGTTTTAAAATATAAAGCTCGGCCCGGATATTTTTTTTAAAAAAATTTTCAGGCCCAGCCTGGGTGTTTTTTTTTAAAAAATTTCGGGCCCGGCCCGGGTATGTTTAAAAAAAATTAAAATACGGTCCGGCTCTGTGGCCGGGCCGGCAAGTCTCTTAAAAACATACCTATGAAATACAACTTCTGAAAGTAGATAAAATGATTTGGATCTTTTGAATATTCATAGGCATTTAACGCCAAGCAAGGATAGATAATTGAAAAATTAGCTCAAAACTTATGTTACAATTCCTTATTTGAATTGTAATCAAATTGTCGAAGGCTCGTGGAAGAGACTTAATGAATTTAATGGAACCTAGTATTAATTAAAAATAAAAATTAAATAATTCGGTAAAATCTTACGAAACCAAATCTCGAAATTTATACCACAAAAATAAGTTTCTTGAATTATAGAACCATACACTGACTTTTATTTTAAAATTTTTTCATTTATATACATTTTTTTAATATGCAAAAAAAATTACAAGTATATTAAAAATTCATAAAAAATAATAAAAATTACAAGTATTCATAAAAAATAATTAAAATTACAAGTCTATTCAAGTTCATAAAAAAATAAATTCCTAGACTGCATATTCAATTTAATATTTAACAATCGTCGATCACATATACACAAACTAACAAATTATATAAAAATATAATTTATATTCAAATTAATACTTAACAATCGTCGATCACATATTCACAAAGCGAATATAACAACATACAAAATATAATTATTCCTAAGAAATATTTTATGTATTAATTTATATTCCCAACATTTAAATTTTTTATACTTTATATATTGTAAAGGCTCAAAAAATTCAAATTTCAATTTTGGGTCATTTAAGTGATTCATATCGTGGTTATATTCACTTTATATTTTATAATTCACATTTATTTTATAGTTTTTCAATGCCGGTTTATATGTAAATTTTTTTTGTAATTCACATTAATTTAAAATTGTGTATTAGAATAGTTTTTAGTCCTAATAAATTTATGCTTAGTATTTTTAATTAACAATAATATTTCTTAAAAAATTTTATTATCCCCCCCCCCCCCCAGACAAATTCCTGCGTACTCGCCTGTGAATTTTAGATATCATTTAAAAAGACAATGGTGACTCCGGGGTTCAGTACATTATTATTTTTTAAAATATATTTTGATTTTAGATAACAGGCTCTGTCTTAACCTCTCTTGATAATTTTACAGAAAACATAACAAGGGGCTTGTTGGGGCAAAAATTTACTTTTACTAGAATCTATCTTGAGATAAATGTATAAAATATTTAAACAAATTTATAAAGGTATAAATTTATGTAAGTGTTTGGGTTATCTCATGATATTTTATAAATTCATTTACAATTATTTTCGGACATATGATGAATTTGACAAATATAGCTCCGACTAACCCTGGCAAGATCGCCTTCGGTCGGATAACGAATTTCATATTACATGTTATATACCATTGAGATCTGCAAATCCTACCCAGGCATGTACCCGGCACGAGCAAGGGTCTATTTTTGAAAAATAATTTCGGTGGCTGGGTCGGGCCTATTTCTTAAAAAAGATCCGGG